GCATTCCAAGTAATATCAATCAAACTGCAGTTGGGTTGTTTTGATTGAGCAATAATAACTTAAACAAATACAGGTAATTTACAAAATTAATGTTCATTGAAAGTATGTTTTTTTTTTTACATATTAAAAGTTTGTTTTATAGCAAAAGCAGATAACTCCCAACAGTCGTTTTTTGACAAAAGCAGATAACTCCACATTTCTTGTTTTAGAGTTTAAAAAAACACTGGTTTAATCTTTGTAATCTCCTCAGATGACAATGTAGATGCCTGACAAACGTTGTTGTTGTTGTTGTGATCATAAACTGTATGGATGTGATTACACGCAATACACAGAGCTTTTCCCTCACCATTGTAATGCGCTGCTTTTGCAAGCTTCCGTGAAAACGTTTCAGCTTTCATTTTCCTTTTTCGCACCCTGAAGAAGATATCTCAGGTTCATCAAGTTCGTCGAAATGATCCATCCTCGATCACTTTTAGTCAGCTTTGACGAAAGTCCTCTCACAGTGTTCTCAGAAATGTCCAAGAATCGTACCAGAAGCTCAAAATTATCGTATTTTTGAAGAAATTATTGTACAAACGTACAGAATACAGCTATTTATCTACTAGACTAAAACAACAACTTTTAGACACCCTACAAATTACCACAATAAATAAATAACTATGCTAGGGCACTATGAAATACATTTTATTTTTTCCCAAATTCCAAATTTTTTAATTTTTCCAATTTTTTAAAATGGTTAAATTACATTTTATTAACCAAAAGCATGTCTAATTAAATAATAAAACATATACAATTCAACATCAAATCTATTAAAAAGTTTAACAAAAATGACATATTTAGGGTCTTATGAAATGTTCAATTTTTTTCACCTGGTTTATTGTTACCAAATTCTGTGTTTTAATATGTCTAATTATTTGAATGCATAAAAACTGCTTTTATTTATAGCCTTATGAATTTTTTTTTTCTTTAGAAATTCTGCATTGTGTATTTTAATTTTTCTGGTTATCGACTGAAGGCATAACACATTCATTTAATTTATCTTTTAATTAATGAAAATTAAAAAAAAAAATTTGGCAAACAAAGGGGATTTACAATTAAAATTAAAACATGGAAGAAATATTGTGATTATTCCTTAATAATTTTAGTAGTAGTTTTTTTTTCTTTAGAAATTCTGCATTGTGTATTTTAATTTTTCTGGTTATTGACTGAAGGCATAACACATTCATTTAATTTATCTTTTAATTAATGAAAATTAAAAAAAAAAAATTTGGCAAACAAAGGGGATTTACAATTAAAATTAAAACATGGAAGAAATATTGTGATTATTCCTTAATAATTTTAGTAGTAGTAGTTGTACGTACATTCTACTGAACAATAATAATACATTTCTGGCAGAAACTATATATTTTTGACTCTCAGAGCAGTTCTGGGGATGTTATGTCCTATTTAGTGAGAAGGCAGATGCTGAAATCACCCGAGCGGATGTGTGTAGTAAACAAAACCGCGTGACATTCATTCAGACCATAGACTATGATTCAGACAGACACAGAACATGCAGGATTTATATTTAAATAGCCTTTTTGCGGCTTAATATTTACAGATACTAGTCCATATCACGATTTAAGTGTAATGACCTTCCTTTGAATAATTCATCCAAACTTTGACAAATTCCGTGACATTCCGCGTTATACAGTAAGTTCCGTTGACTGGATTCCGCAATTCCATCCGTGTTTTCCGCATCGCCATAGACGTACCTTGCGGGAAGGTCCAAACTCCACCTCTGAGTCGCTGTCATCAGAATCCTGCGTGTTGCCAGATGTTGAGGGTCCTGAGGTGTGCACCAACCCATTTAGAGCGTCTGTAATGAGCCGATTTCGTGGCTTTGTTTTGATGAGGTTGACTTTGGAAAAAACATGTACTGAAATTATCGTACATTATGGGATTTTTTTCATTATTGATCATACATCGTACAGAGATCAAAATTATCGTACAAATACGATAATTATCGTACGTCTGGCAACACTGTCCTCTCAGCTAGCAAGTCTTTTCAAAGTGAACGTAGCCTGTCACCTGACCTGAATACAGAGCGCTGGTTCGCTAAAATGGACTTATCGGCTTCTGTTCAAAAACAACAAAGGCGCTTGTCGGCTTCTGCAGTAAAACGTGAACTGGCTTTTTTGACAAAACGTGTTTAGGGTTCAGATCGCACTATATGTGGAGAATGCACGGCATCAGCTCTTTTTTTTTTTTAAGTGGCGTTTATCGTTTTTTTCAAATGCACTCTTCAATTATTAAGACATTTTAAAAGAACTTCCATATGATTCGGTGTGGGATTTTCCATTTATAAAGCTTGTCAGGTGGTTTTGATCTGATCTTGCTCATGTTCTTCATGTGTTTAGATTGTGGAAGCGGTCTATGAGCCAGTAGGAGACAAAACCTTCTCTGAGAGAGTGACTGACATGATTAAATGGTATGATTTCCTGGAGAGTTGCTGCTTTCATGTATGAAGTCTTTTATGCTCAATATAAGGCTGCATTTATTTAATCAAAAATTCAGTGAAAACAGTAATACTGTGAAAAATTATTACAATTTAAAAGAGCTGTTTTCTATGTGAATATATTGTAAAATTTAATTTATTTCTGTGATGCAAAGCTGAATTTTCAGCATCATTACTCCGGTCTTCAGTGTCACATGATCTTCAGAAATCATTCTAATATGCTGATTTCGAGCTCCGTTATTATCAGTTATTATTGGTGCTCAACTGTTAATAATGGTTTTAATTATTATCAGTGTTGAAAACAGTTTTTGTGGAGAAAGTCTTTAATCTTCCCATGCTGTCACTGAGAATGATAGCAAATGTGGTCTTGTTGCTTCCTCGTATTTTCTGGCATGCTTTAAAGCTATTCTTCATCGACAGTCACTAAATTTAGTTCTTAGTTTGGTTTATTAGTTTTCAGAAGATGTACCACCTTTATAGGACACATTCTCTTTGGCTTCTGATAGGTGCTTGACTCCAAACGCAGACGTGCGTCCTGACATCATCAAGGTCAGCTCCAGAATTTCAGATATAATGATGAAGTTTGTGGACAATCTCTGTGCATCCTATAATTCACTGGAGAGAAGGGCAGAGCGAGACAGGAAGAGAGCGCAGAAGTACTTCCTGGAGAGTAACAGGACCAGGATGTGCCGCCCACTGCAACGGGTTCGATTAATAAACTACTGGACATTTCTTCATTATTATAACCTGTCTGTCGGTTAAAGTGCTCCTGTTATGCTGTTTCCAGTATTGACTTTCATGCAGTCTGTAATGTAGCTGTATGTGAATGTAAACAATCTGAATCAGATGAATCACAACCTGTTAGTATGATAAATATCTATCGAGCATTCAAAATACAGAACTATGGCAGTGGATGTATCGTTCTGTACGCGGTAGACCAATCACAGCAGACTGGGCCATCTGACCAATCAGAGCAGAGTAGGCTCAGGGAAAGGATGGGCTTAGAGAGACTGAATCTTTTGAATATTTTGAGAAAACAAAAGCGTTTTTTGACCCTGCATGCATGTAAACCTATTGTAGGAAACTCCCAAAATAATATTAAAAAACGTACAAATGGCATAATACGGGCACTTTAATAAATAAACCTAAATACAGCCTGAATACTCTTTGAATTTTGTTTTTGATTCAGAGCGTTGGCCTCAAAGAACAAGATGGATCACAGACTCAGAGTTTGGAAACGTCTGCATCTGTGTTAACAAGCGGAGCAGAACAAAAGCAAAGCCAAGGTGACAGAGTTTATCTGTAATATACTAATAAGATCAGTTTCTGCTCTAGCACTGAAACACTCTACACAAGTATTGTAACGCAAATGCTAAATTGCATTTGATCAGTTTCAGTTGCTGTGTAAACAAATGCTTGCTCAAATTAAATCTTGCTGAGTATTTAGATCTTATAAACATACAGTAGCAGCTATTTGAATAACAACACATCTGCTTTAATGGCACATATATTAGACTCTAGCGCCCTCTTGAGTTCTTGAGTACTAAAGTTTGTTACCACCAAGATTGTACTTGTGTAAAGTATGTTTCTAGGCAAAGAATGTGTGTGTGTGTGTGTGTGTGTGTGTGTGTATATATATATATATATATATATATATATATATGCTAAATTTAGAAATAATTCTTGTTTTTTTCCTTTCTTAAAATGTGTAGACATGTCTGGGAATGTCAGTGTTAAATGTTCTAATGAGCTGAACAGGTGAGTTTATGCTTTCTGATGTTTTTCTGTTCTCATTTTTTTACACAATTAGAGGGATAGCTTGAATAATTAAATTTAAATTAAATTAAATTAAAATTTTATTTATTACATTAAATTTAATTAAATTTAATTAAATTTTTAATTAAATTAAATTTTATTAAATTTTATGTTATTTTATGTAATGCAATTTTTAAAAGCAGTAAAATACTTTCTGTTTTGCATTTGGCAGTGCGGATTGTCAAAAAGCAAAAGCACGACCAGGTAAAAAGTGTCAGTTTTGCTCATGTGCACAAAAATGAGATGCTCAGTGAATTTTATTTTGACTCATTTATATAGTTTTTTGTAAAAGTAACAGTGTTCTCACACTAAAGGTTAAATAGCTAAAAATATCAGGGCATTTCTTTGGTTTCACTTGTGTTTCTCACTCATTCACAGCATCAGCAGGAATTTGTTTATCTCAGAGAAAAGTTCGACAAATTGACGATCCCAACCAAAGGCTTCTTGAACTTCTGCATAAGATTGTATTCATAACTCAGGTCATTTAGAGTCTGTTTTCAGGCATTTTCCAGAATGTTTCAGTCTCTTTGACTCCTATTTTCTGTTTTTAGCTCCCACCAGCTCCACAAAACAGCTTCAAGCAGCGGGCAGTCGAACGCTTCAAGAAACCGCTGTTCACGTATGGAAGTGATCCGTACAATCTGAAGGTGGAGCTCAATAAGGTACTTCTGTTTAATGCAACAACAATCATTTTTAGTTTGTCATCTTGTACTATTACTGACACGAAGCGGCGTGGAAGCAGTGATCCAGTCTTTAAAAGTGCACAATAATGGCCTGTTACTGAGATAAAATCGTCGTCTGATTGATAGTTCATACTTTTTCAGCAAATAAAAGTTATTTTAATACAATTGTACAAACGTGCACCTTCAGCTCGTGCTTCACGTGTCTTTTTGCTGTGAAATCTTTACTGATTTTTGTGAAGTAAATGTAAGAATAACTTTTATATTGTTAGAAATATTTCATGATGAACACTTACTGGACTGAAGCAGCACATTTCAAATCATGTTGAAATGTGAGTATCAAATATGATCATCAGGCTTTCGAGGAACGTTTATCTGTTCATCTCTCAATCATCATTGTGTTGCATTATGTTTTGCAACCGAGAGCTTTGATCATCAAACTCAGGATTAAATATCGTCTTACTAAGACATATGTGACCCTCCTCGACCACAAAACCAGTCATAAGGGTACATTTTTTGAAATTGAGATTGAGCTGAATAAATAAGCTTTCCATTGATGTATGGTTTGTTAGGATAGGACAATATTTGGCCGAGATGCAACTATTGAAAATCTGGAATCTGAGGGTGCAAAAAAATCTAAATATTGAGAAAATCGCCTTTAAAGTTGTCCAAATGAAGTTCTTAGCAATGCATATTACTAATCAAAAATAAGTTTTGGTATATACTGCTTTTGTGCTCCAGGGTCACATATTATTGGGAGATATAGAGTCACAAATGACATTTATATCATTTTATGTAAGTACTCTGTTATACTGTTACAAACATTGCATTGATTTATATTACAAGCATCAGAATTTCATCATAATTATTTGCCATATAAATATCAGCATGTGCTCCAAATTGCATATTTTTGCTCGGTTTGGGCCTGTTTTTTCCTCCATTTTTTTACTATAGCATACTAAATGAGCCATAAAAACCTGATGTATCAATTATTATTATTATTATTATTGATACTTTAAAATATTATCTAAAGGTTCCATATTTTTAATAAATCTGCAAAAATGTCAACAATTCTGTGTTTTTCTGTCAATATGGGGTGCTGTGTGTACATTAATGAGGAAAAAAAATGAACTTAAATGATTTTAGCAAATGGCTGCAATATAACAAAGAGTGAAAAATTTAAGGGGGTCTGAATACTTTCCGTACCCACTGTATATACTGTTCCAGGCTTTACAGGGTTCATGGGGGAAAAGGTGCAACAGCTCCATCTTGTGGCTGTTTCAGTGGAAAATTTATTTAATTGTGAATTGAGTTGAAAAAGAATTTTCAGACCTTTGAATTCAAACCCTTCAGGTTCTTCGAGGAAGTCAGGAGCTGGTGGAGATGTCATCAGCCAGCAGAGAGTGGTGGTCCATGATCCAGTCTTTAAGTTCAGACCCAGCCGCTGCGGAAAACCGTGGAAGTGGAACTCCAAACTGTACATTTTTATCTTTGGTTTAATTTGAAAGCTTCACAAATGTCACTGAGCTCGTCTAAATTATTTTGTAGGGGAGGCAGGTTGCTCCAGTCTGCAAGGCGGTCTCACCTATGAGGACATACAGGTGGGATTTTAAACTTTGTTGTTATGCAGCACATTTTAAACTATTATGAATGAATGCATGAATCATTTTAATATTACACTGATTTCTGTAATTTGATCCACCAGCACGAGTAATTAATCATATCCACTGATGATGCTTACTGACATCTGTGCTGCTGTTTTCCCTCCAAAATGATGTCACTTACTGGAGGATGATGATGTCATTTAAGGAATGTTTTTTGTCAATTAAAAGAAATGAAAAAGGCTAACAAGATGGACAGTGATATTTATGACCCATGAAAAGTGGATTATAAAAAAACAAATGAAAAAAACAAAAGATCCTCCGTCCTGGAGGATGACGTCATTGAAGAACTGACTCTTGTTAGTTAAAAGAAATTAAAATTACAAGGAATATTATTTATTAATCGGCTACACCTATTAGCTAAATTTAGTATACATAAATGCAGATATAGGGAAAATAAGCTTTTGTTTTTAATTTTAAAAACAGAAGTTCAACAATACCGAAAAACTATTTTATGTTTTTAACCTTTTAAAAATGTTTTAAAAAATGTTAAAGGTTAGAAAGCTGTAATATGTTTCTATTTGTAAACATTTTAATGTTTTTATTTAACTTTATTTCTGCCTTTTGATTTTATTTCTTTAATTTATTATTATTATTATTATTTTATTATCCTAATGTAGCCCCTGACTTTATTTGTAATTTTTTAAAATCAATAAAATAAAATAAAAAAAAGGTAAAAAGACTAACAGGATTAATTAAATTAATACGCACAAAATTATGTTTAAATTATAGAAAGTAAAAATTATGAAAATTATGAAGATCTGGAATAATTACAAATAAATTGTCAGTTTTTCATGGTAAAATTCAGTGCAGCACAGACAAAACTGAACATTCACTCAAACCTAAGTAATGAAATGAGTTCAAATTCACCCCATGTTCACTTAATAAATGTTTAGTTCAGCCAAAAATGAAAATTCTGTCATTAATTACTCACCCTCATGTTGTTCCTAACACGTAAGACCTTCGTTCATCTTCGGAACACAATTTAAGATATTTTTGATGAAATCTGAGGGCTCTCTGACCCTCCCATAGACAGCAAGGTAACTACCATGTTCAAGGTCCAGAAAAGTACCAAGAAGATCGACAAAGTAGTCCGTGTGACATCAGTGGTTCTACTGTAATGTTACTAAGCTACGAGAATACTTTATTGCGCAAAGAAAACAAAAATAACGACTTTATTCCACATTTTCGTCTCTACTGCGTCACTTTGGACGCGTGTTCATGACAGTATCATTACGCGAGCGTGTGGCGGCGCTGACGTCATGAAGTATTCTCGTAGCTTCGTAACTTTACAGTTGAACCACTGATGTCACACGGACTACTTTGTCGATCATCTTGGATGTGGTAGTTACCTTGCTGTCTATGGGAGGGTTAGAGAGCCCTCATATTTCATCAAAAATATCTTAAATTGTGTTCTGAAGATGAACGAAGGTCTTACGGGTTTGGAACAACACGAGGGTGAGTAATTAATGACAGAATTTTCATTTTTGGGTGAACTAAACCTTTAACGGTAACTAATAAGATTTCCATCTTTAAAAGTAGTGAATTTCATATTTCTTCCTGTATGTTATATGGTAGAGCTGTGAGTTTGATTTCAGCTTGTCTGATGTTTCAGAGTATGGTGGAGGATGTGCTGGAGGAGAACGGCTATTACAGCACGCCTCTGGGCAGGTAATGTGGATTGAAGCTGGTTTCTGTTGGATTTCCTCTGCTGTCATTGACTGCCTGTGTGTGTGTGAACGGCAGAAGTGAAGTGGATTCAGGAGCGGGAACCAGACGAACTCAAACCCCGTGACCCGCAGCAGCTCTCATATCTGCCTGACAGCAGCCTCTCAGGTCAACCTGACAATAATCACATTATGAATCATAAGCTGATTTTGTGCATCTGAAGAACACATGCTGATAGTTGATTGCAATAATAGTCAATGCACGCGCATAGATGATTTACCTCATTTAAATCTGTGCACTTTAATGTGTGTGATTTTTCCTTTTTTAAATTACATCATATATATATATATATATATATACACAACGCATAATCAATCTTTTGGACAAGATACGATATAAAGCTGCTCTTATATGAATAGCCATGCGTTAGCAGCTATTGCACATAATGAAACGATAAGGAAGTGTTTTACAAACACACGTGAAAAGCAGACAACCTTTGCTTGTGCGTAATGAGCAAATCACGATGATCTCTGACATAGCTTTAAAACCCGAACGATTCCGAATGCGTCTTTGCTCACGAAACAGTAAAAAAAGCCTGTTAAATACATTCAAGAGTGAAATTTACAGCCCAGGTTGGTCAGACAGAGAGTAGAGGGGGTTTAAGGTTGGATTTTGAAGGCGAGCAGCTCCTCGGAGTGCATGTTATTGAGCGAGCGCAGCTCAGGCAGCTTCAGCAGCAGCTTGGTGAAGACGGCGGCTTCGTTCGAGTGCTTTTTCATGATCAGGTTCCTCAGAGCTCTGATCAGGGTCTCCTGCAGGGCCTCCACGCCGTTTACATCCTCGATGGCTGATCGGTCTGTGAAAACATGCAACAATCGATCAGCTTCACGAAAGCAGCAACTGCAGACACCGACACCAGTAAATGCATGTACTAAAACCATTTTATTAGAATTATTGAAGTGATAATAATTAAAAGCAAAACCAATATGTATAAAATAGTTCAAAATTCACCCAAGATGGTATATGAAAATGTATAAAAATATGAATAAATAATAAATTCATAATATTATTAAAAATAAATAATACAAATGATTAAAGATAAATATATTACATTAATGTAAATGATTAAAAGCAAAACCAGTATGTATAAAATAGTTCAAAATTCACCCAAGATGGTATATGAAAATGTATAAAAATATACATAAATAATAAATTAATAATATTATTAAATATAAACAATAAATAAATCATACAAATTATTAAAGATAAATACATTACTTTATTAAATATATGATTAAAAATAAATAATAAATAATAATACAAATGATTAAAGATAAATATATGACATTAACATAAATGATTAAAAATTATTCAAAGCAAAACCAGTATCAATTAATAGTTCAAAATTCACCCAAGATGGAAAAATTTTTAAATATAAAAATAAATAAATTATAAATTATTTATTGATTATTAATTAATTATTTAAATGATTAAAAATACATAATTTATAATATATTCATAAAGAGTATTTAAAATTATTAAAAGCAAAAACAATCTGCATCATTAAATAGTTCAAAATTCACCCAATGCTGCCAGAGATGTTGTTAAAATCTATATGAAAAACTATTCTAAATATAGAAATTCTAAATAACCGATTAATAATATTACTAAAATGGGTAATTAGTAATAATATATTAATATAAAAAAATATTTACAAAAATTAAGTTTTACATGAAGAGTGCTAAATTGCACATCTTGCTGCCCATTATGTTCCAAACAGTTCATTATTGGTTAACTGGTTTCAGCTATAACGCCGCCGCTTCTAGACAACAGCACGACTCGCTGGGTAACAGTATCTCTTAGCGGTCTTATTTTTAGTATTAATTGTATACTATTATAGTATGTATTAATATTTTGAATTAGCTTTTCGTTCTGTTTTAAATTTCTATTTTATTTTAAGTTTGTGCTTTTGCATTTTTTATTGCACCGAAAAGATGCGTTTCTCTGTTTTTGAAGGGCGTACCTGCAGACACCAGCACCACGGCGGAGAAGAGACTCATCTCTTCCTCGTCCAGCTGCAGGGCGCTGAGCTTCTCGCTGAACTCAAACATGCAGTTGAGCAGCTCTCCGGCACCCATGGAGCGCAGCAGGTCCACGCCGAACTTCCTCCCGCTCAGGAAGGTCACGGTCCGCTCTTTCACATCGAACAACGACACGAAGCGCACCATCAGCACCTGCGCGGAGAGAAAGGGAGGAGAGCGTTAGGGGTCTGACGGATGCTTGCACTCTCTGAAACGCATCGGGACTCGTGGTGCTTTACCTCGAAGGTTCCCGCCTTGAGGAGGTTGACCTGGTCGTGTTGGGAGAGGTCCTGGAAGCCCGGGATCCGCTTGGCAAATTCCACCACTTCTCGTACGGCAGGGATGAAGCTCTTGGAAAACTCCTCCCAGATTTCATGACCGGGCTTGCAGGGGTCCACGAAGGGGGAAACACTCATGGGACACACCTGAGAGAAGACCAACAGAGTCACATTACTACACCAGATACGCTTTAGTGCTAAAATAGCTCTGCTCCATTTTAAGGCATTGTTAGCACGCTCGAGCCAGAGAAATTCTCCAAATATTTTCAGCATTTAAAATAAATAATTAATCAATTAGAAATTATATAATTAAATTATTAACAATAATTTAGAAAAAAACTATGAATTAAATAATATAAATTAATAATTATGTAAAATAATACAATTATTTTGTAAGATTTATTTAAATTATTTTTAAATGGATTCAAAGCAAAAACAATTTGAATCAAAACATAGTTAAATATATTTACAAATAAACTATTATACTTAATTTTTGTGTGCCTTGTTTACATTATTAGCTTAGCAACGTGACAAATTTCACCCAAGATGGTGGATGCAGCCAGAGAAATTGTCTATAAATGTATTTATAATTTAGAAAAATAAATTAAAAATAATAAATTCTATATGTATTTTTTTAAATAACTTATAGACTAAATAATATAAATATTACACTTATATAATAAATACAATCATTTAAGAATTCTTGGGATTATTTTCTAATTTTTAAAATAATAATATTGGTAATTGGTAAATGTTTTTCTCTCAAGGAATTATCTTTATATTTAATATTTTAATTGTAGTTTTAGTAATTTTATGTGCTTGTCATTTTTTGTTTGTTTTAATATTTGCATTTAGGTTTAAGTTTTAGTTTTAATAATTTTTGTACTTAAAGTTACTTCTGTTAGTTGCCAAGACAAAATTTGTAATTGTCATTGAAATGTTTTTCATGTAATATTTCAGCCAAAAAAACGAAGAAGCTGTTTTAGCTTTAGTTAACAACACTGATCTTAAGTGTGTATTGCTAATATTGATGTATAAACAGCAGAAGGTCACTAACCAGATGTCCTCTGTTTGCTCCAGTCTGGACTTCGTTCAAGTGGTTTCTGTGGTAAGGCAGGCTTTCTGGGATTCGACTGCACTGCTGGGTCACGTGATACCCGGTCACATGATCCCTGTAAGGTCCAGTGGTGGTTTGCACTGCACCGCTCTGGTTCCAGTGGTTCCAGCATTCCCGCTGCGGCTCCTCGTCCTCCTTGCTGCTGCTGCTGAGTGTTTCGGAGCTGGCTGGAGATAAGGACCCTCCGCGGGGCGAGCCATACGCGAACAGGTCCTCACGGGGAGCGGGTCCAGTGCTCGGCACGTCTTCCTCCCCGCTGTCTGACGAACAGGACGACGCCGTGTCCATGGGAACGACTGACTCGGAGTCCCGGGAGAGATCGGAGGAGGAGCGTGGCGAATCCGGCGGCGATGGCGAGGAGGAGCTGGACTTGCTCTCGATGGCACAAGGGGCGGGCTGTGCGCCGTGAAGCATGTGCTGCAGCTGACTGTTGTTCATCATGTTATTCATGGCCGTCTGCATCTCCAGGAGCATCCGCTGCTTCTCCCGCTTCGGGATGCGTCCGAAACGCACAGCTGAAAGAGAGATTGTTTGTTAAGATTCATTGCATTTAGTTCTTCTGCTTTAGACTTAAAAAAATGTAGTTGTGCTACAAGTCCTGATGTCAATATTACAAAAGCTTGAGCTCATAAGGAAGCCGGATATGGCTTGTAACTCACCGTCTCGGGACATCCCGACAGATAAACACTTCTTGAAGCGGCACTGCTGGCAGCGGTTGCGGTTTATCCGCACAACAGTGCAGCTTTCTGTCTTCAGGCATTTCTTATACTGAATATTCTGCTGGATGCTTCTTCTGAAGAAGCCCTGTTAAAAATGAAAAATAAAAAAATCATGCAATTTTCCGCTAACAGTGTTTTTATACATAGATGCATATATATATATATATATATATATATATATACCATATACAATATTTTGAATTAGCTTTTTTTTTGTCCTTTTTTATATAGCTTTATTTTTATTTAAATTTAAATTTTATTTAATTCAACTTATTTCACTTAGCCAAGTTAAGTTTTTAAAAATTAAGTAGAAATTAAGTCTTAATTTTTTATATTTATATTTTGCTTCAGCTTTATTTCAAAATAATGCAATTGTTTGTTAGCAGGGTTATTATAGTTAATATTATACTAATACTAAAACCATAAAATACATTTCTGTTACTTGAAATAAAATTAACATGAACTGAAATAAAATGAATTAAATAGAAATATAAAATATATTTCAGCTAGTTGTCAAGGTTACATTACTCATTTTTATTTAGTTTAACCTCATGTAAAATAACTAAAACTGGAATAAAAATTAATAGACACTATATATTTAGAAAAAAATCTAAAAATGATGAAACAACAAAATTACTAAAACTCTTAAATAAAACTGAAATGAAAAAAAAAAAACGAATTCAAAACATTGATACAATCTATAGTAATATTCAAATATTAATTAAAACTCTAATAGTATCTTAATTATACTAAAATAACACAGACAACATTATTTCCTTATAATAAAATCATATCTAGAAATACTAGAGGTCTGTTCCGAATGCTAGTGACTGAAGAGACTTGGAATGCAAACTCAAAAAAGTGCTAAATGCACATATTGTTAAGCTAGGCACAAATATATATATATATATATATATATATACACACACACATACATATTGCATGCTCTGCAAAGTAAATAAAGTTTGACTTAACTAAAGTATATACATGCAAAGCTGTAGAATTTGGCTAAAAGGTTCTACAGTGTGAGCGTGCCAATGATGCTTAAAAATGCTCTCTTACCTGTACAACACTAGGTTTTGGAACAGACCCAGAATGTTAGATGATCCTGAGAGAAGTGTTTCCTTACCTTGCAGCCTTCACAGGCATGAACGCCGTAGTGGAAGCCCGAGGCGATGTCTCCACACACTTTACACAGCAGCACCATCCCATTGAGCTCTGGAAAATCATGGAAGAGTTAGTTATACCCAGTGGACCAATCCTGCCAATTTTAGACAGCTGAATCACAAACAAGCTTATTCAGCGTTCACTCACTGGTGATGGAGCTCTTGGCAGCGAGGGTCTTGTTAGAAGCGTGTCCGCGTGGCTGAGTGTGTTTCAACAGCAGTCCAGCGGTGGGCAAGTCTGTCAGACGGCTCGGTTTAGAGGGCAGAGGCGGGGAGGATGATGGGGAGCGGCTGTTAGAGCTGTCACTCATGCAGGACTCGGGGCTGGGGGCGGAGCTTGAGGAGCAGACGTAGGCTATCACGCCTCCTTGGAAATGAGAAAAAGAGGGAACGTTTTAAAAATGCACACTGAAAAAGTTTTATTGACAAACGTATGACCACTTATGCACAGTACTTAACTTGATTTCGAATATGCATTTTCTAGAATGAAATTTTTATTTAACAATAACCAGGCTAAAAAAAACATACATTTTTTTTGTTCCTTGAAATAAATAAAATTAACTGAAAAAAAAAAAAATTTAAGACAAACTTTTTTTATTTCACCTAGTTGCCATCATTTCTCACTTTACTTTAAGTTGATGCACTAAAATGAGAAAAAGCGGGAACTTTTGTCAATTTTATTTTTGCAGTGTGCATTTTATAAGAGTATGAGCACTCATGCACAGTACTAAACTTGATTTCAAATATGCATTTTCTAGATTACCAAAAGAAATGTTGCATAGTTAACAATAACCAGGGGTAATAGCACTTACCTACAACCATAAAAAAAATCATTACTTGAAACAAAATAAACATTAACTGAATTAAAAAAAAACAAAAAAAAAACTTTTTTTAACCTAGTTGCCAACATTTCTCATTTAAGTTAAATGACTAATTAATGGATGAATTAAAATAAATTAAAACAATTTATGATAAAATAAATTAAGCATTAACATTTATGCACAGTACAGTAAAAAGATTTAAATACCCCTTGTTTTTTGTTCTTCGGGTTAAAAAAAGCATTTTTTTAATTAGCGTACACCATAAAATAGACAATACAGTCAAGAACAAAAGTAAATGAGAAACAGTTTGAAGATATGTTTTACAATTTGACCTTCTTCATTGCATTTCATTTACATATTGGATAACTGCATTATGTAAACTCATTTCAATAAGCGAGCAGGTCATCTTGATATGAAGAAGTCACACAAATATGCTTGCACAAAGTTATCTTTTGTTGTTGACACAACTGTAAAATTATATAATCTTCTGCAGTGCACATGTTGGATGAACTTCCTCATTTTGAACAGCTCATGACCTATTTTTAGATGAATGAAACTGCACCATTATGTTTAATTGCACTAGCCCAATACAGTACCACTATATGCTATATGGAGAAGATAATCATTAAATACATCAAAAGTACAATAAAAGAAGTGGTTAAAAAAATGTATTTAGTAATTGTTTAGTTAATTGTTCAGTACATAAATAAATAAATGGATTTATTTTACACCAACCAAAGTAAACAGAAATGTCCTGAATTTCTTTAAATGGACAAGGGAGGTTACTTAACCACCAACTACCCTTAGTTTCTCAGACCCACCCACACGTGGACCTCTCATGTTTTGTAGGGGAAGAATATCTAGGTCACTAGCTGTCTGCTGCCTCCTCACGTGGTACTGCAGAGAGTCTCGCGTCGGCAACTGCCACGCTTCGACCAATCAGAGACTATGCGCCGCGCACGTCACGACCAATCAGCGGCGGAGCCCCGACTCCTAGTACACACAGGCACATGGCTAGGCTACGAGAGCCATGTGAGAGCGAGCGTTCTAGTAGTCCGAGTACAGAGGGCGCGTGACGTCACGGACACTCCTAACCCACATCCAGTGCGCGCGGCAGTCATGCAGGCAACGGAAAGCATGTCAACGGTGCTTTAACCCACAACATTTCACTCTGATAACCTCTCATTTTAAACAGGTTTTCATTTTATGACACCACAGACAGTGCATCAATAATACAATTATAATACATTTACGCATTTAGCTTAGAGAATTACACTACTTCTGTTTGGTGTCTCGGGTATATATATATATATACATACACACATACACACATACATACATATACACACACACACACATATATATACACATACATACACACACATATATACATACATACACATACACATATATATATACATACATATACACACACACACATATATATATATATATATATACATACTGAAAATGCTATTTTCAGTGCCTTTTCACCATAAACAACCAACACTACATTGGACAACAGGGAAGATATTAAATGAAATCTACACATAAATCATTAAAGTCGGGCTTAAATGTACATTAAAAAAAAATACGACAATAAATGCAAATAAAGATGGAAAATAAGATTTTTAATGACTGCTCAAGGGTTTTATGGGGATTTAGCTTAAAAACAGCTATTTTTAGCTGCTAAAACATGTGAGAGTGAGTACAAAAACATCTCTAACACGTCTGTGTAGAAATCACACAGGCATATTCACTAATATTTCCGGGTTTTCTATGACAGTGGAAATCCTGTATGCTGTATGTCAAAATAAAGCATTACTGTAGCGCGGGATAACACTGCAATTTTTTTCCCCACAAAACAGGAGTAATGTTTCTAACAATGCTAAATACGTTATGCTTACAATTATGAATAAAAAATGCATAATTATAAGCAATACAATAATAAATGTCTTACCTTGCTTTGTTGATTCCATGTCTTCAGACTCTTGGTGTCTTATAATTCAGGAGGACAATAATTTGAAACAGCTGTTCGTGTAAGTTGTAAGTCTGTCGAGCTTTCGGATCCTTCAGCGTTCCATAGAAGCTCTCGAGCGTCTCACACAATGGAACGCGACTCTCAGGATGCGCACGGGCGCTCAGAACTCAGTGTTCTCTAGTTCTCGTTTCCGTCCGTGTCTCCGCCCCTTCGGTGCTCGACTCACGTTGTTAACCCAGTGACACACTTTCAGCCATGTGTCTGTGCTTTCACACGTCCAGAGGCGGAGCCCGCGCGCACGAATCCACCGCTGCAACGTGATGCGCGCTTCTGGGAACACGATGTTTTTCTGGAACGCCGCCACACCGTTCAAGATAACAACAGGGCCGGGGCGGGGGCGAATAACGGGACGCTGTGACGACCAGCCGTTTAACATGGATTTCTTTAAGCTTGTAGTTTTTAATGCATGCGTGTTAGTAGCACAGAAACGTTTTTGTGTAGCATCAAGCCAAAAACATACAAAAAGTGTCCACCTTTAATTGTACTTTGAGTGTTTAAGCGTTCTTCCTGCATGCTTTTGAAAGCAACACATAAGCCATCTATTAAAGGCTCCACAATAAGCTCTTTTTTAGTCATTCGAATATATTTATTTATTCATGGATCACCAACTGTGCTCACACTCGAGTCAAGTTTACTCATCTCTCCACAAGCAGGAATGAACACATTGTGTCCAGATACAGGGTATAGCCTATGGTTTAATGGCTGTTGACTATCCAGTTCACTTGGGAGCGTGATGTGATTGGTAGGTGCTTGTTCTGGGTGGTTGCTAGAAGGGTTGGGTAAAATTCATAGAAATAAGATAATGTTCTAAGGTTTCAAGCGACCTGAAACTGAACTTTCTATGGCACAGGGCAATACTTTTTTCCACAAATGAAATGCATTTTGCATTATCTATCTGGCTGGCTGTCTTTAAGGACTGTATCCTTTTTTCCAGACAACTTTGAGTGGCTTTACAAAGCCTTGTCTGAAAATCTGAGACAAACAGAAAGATACAGTCTGTCAGACAGACAGACGGATAATCAGACAGAGACACAGAAGGATAGATAGATAGATAGAACAAACGAACGAGTGAACAAACAAACAAATAATAATAGATAGACTGATAGACAGACCAACAGACTGATAGATAGATAGATAGAACAACGAATAATAGATAGATAGAAAAAACAGATAATAGCTAGCTAGATAGATAGATAGATAGAACAAACAAATAATTTTTTTTTTTTTTTTGGAGCTTGACAAAAAGTCATGAGAGAAAGATGAGGAAATAAGCACATTATATTAATTTGAAGGTGAACTGTTCCTTTAAGACAGCTGACTGCAATAGTGAACACTCGAGCTCATTTATGGAAACACTGCAATTTTCTCAAGTTAAGCCGTATCTGTCCAAAGTTTGACATTTGATGATTTTGGGGTGTGAAATTCGCAATGATTAGCCAACCTTTTGGCATTTGTGAGGAGTACGGCTTTATAATCCACAACAGCTGATAGATGTGTGTAATATGTGCGAAAGGTTATAGTTTGCAGAACAGACAAGACAGTCAAGTAATTATCATATGATTTTACAAAGTATATGAACTGTGAACTCCTGACTAACATAAAATACCAAATGGAATCTTTTCCAATCTTATCATTGAACTGGATATAATGACACTGTATGACCGATAACCTTTTTGAGTAATATAAACTGAGATCATACAATGTAACTTTTCCATAGTCTTCATTTTGACACTGATCAAGGGCCAAAAATAGGAAAAACTTTTCCCCTTGAAATGCTGCAGGTTTGCTGTGCTTGTTTGTACAGCTGCACAATTACTATTACATAATTATAGAAATTATATAGCATTCTTATTAAATTATTCTTAAATACAGATGATTGTCAAATACATTTTTTTGTGGTATGTAATTTATTTTTTTATATAGTATTAATTTTATTTGCAGTAAATTCTAATGCAAATCTTGCAATTCTAATTAAATTTTTATTTCCTATTTAGTTTTAGTTATTACTAATTGTAGTAATTTTTAACTTTTTATTTCAGTTTTAAGTTTTTCATCTAACATTTATTTTATTTCACCTTGATTTCAATATTTTTGTGCAGCTGCACAAACATATATCAATATGAGCAAATAATAATAATAACAAAAATAATATTTGATTACAAATAATATTACAATTATTATTAAAAAAAAAAATCTAAGGCAATATTTTACTCTTAAAAAAAAAACTGGAATATTAGAAAAATATAATAATAATAATAATAATAAGGGAAACTTGTGCATGTTAATAAGAAAATTAAGGTCCAGGTCCTTTATCTGCTTTGCGAATGTCCAATAATATTTTACGCACAAATGTTCAAACTTAGCAAAACACATGGCAATAATTCCCAGCTAATCAAAAAATTACATAGATTTGCATAAAAATAAATAAAATATGATCTGAACTGGTGCAAATAGTAGAAAATGGGAAAAAGGGGGGGGGGGGGCTGCTGCTTAGTGGTTGCAGAACTGGATCTGATAGCCAAAAGACGTCTGCCAATATATATGCAATATTTAACCTGAAATATATAATCTGCCTATATATTTGCAATATATAACCAGAACTCTTGCATGACACATTTATTAGATAAAACAAGTTAAAGTTGAAATGTAAGGTAAAATGCTAGCTCTTTTTTTAATCCCTGCATTTGCAACATATGAAGGTAAATCTGTGTGTAGCATAAAATTCAAACAAAATCTGCTAATAATAATAAAAAAAAAAAATAATAAAAAAAAAAAAGAAATCAGTTGAACCAATATGGGTTTTGGCTGATGCTAATAGGGATATCAAGACAGCAGGACAGATAATGCCGCATATATGAAGTAAAATACAAATTAATAACAGCAAATACGAAGAACAGTAGAATTGAATGACTTTAAATAAAAGTTATAATACCCAATATTTACAGTTAAAAAAATTTGTGCATGACTTCTTATGCATCTGTTGACAAGGTTGTCAAATTTGGACATTTCTAATCAGTACACAGTCATCAGCCAGTGACGATAATCCAGGCACTAGTTCAGGCAAACATGTCCTTCTGTAACTAGTTAATAAAAATACTGCAGTTTAGTGTGACTGATGTTTAAAGCGCATGTGACAAGCACAGGAAGTCATGCGTAACACTAGAGAGAAATACACATGCACTGAACATATGACATTACATACAAGAAATGACATTTCAGCCACAGTGTTTATTTATGGTGTTTTTCATGAAGCAAGTGCACAACAGTCCATTCTGGCCAGAGGTGGCATGTAGCAATATGTACACATCGTTTTTTTTTTAAATTCACAAGCAAGCCTATTGTCGAGTGGCCGCCATGACTTTAAGTTTAAAAAATACATACAAACAAAACAAGAGGGTCGAGTTTGGAGTTGAAAGGATGCGATTCGTCATCCGGTTACATGCATGGAAATCTTACCGACTGAGGAGAGAGAGGAGAAAATAAAGAAATACACTATACGGAGATGAGAAAAACAAAGTAGTTCATAAGCTGTAGTTGTTCCTGATGCCACTTAAAAAGAAAGGATATACATACATTAAGTTGAAGGACAACAATAATAATAATAATAATAACAATAGTATTCCTTTTCTCCTAAGGTAATTCAAACATTCAGATAATTGGAAAATAAAGTCCCAATCTACTCTTTGTATAAAAAGAAGCTTTCAAGTCAACAAGGAACAAAGGACAGTTTCTTCACAGAAAGGTCTAGAGGAAGTTGGAAGGAAGAGGGGCCAGATCTATCGTTGCACTTGGTGAGTGTGCTTTCAGCAGACGGGGAGAGGTAGAGGCACAGCAGGGCTGAGGGGGGATATAGTGTGTGTTTGTGTCGATACTGTACGGCCCGCTCTATGTGGCGTATCTCTTCGTCCACTGTTTAGCTATTCTGTCATGTTCCGTTCTGTTGGTCAAGTACTGTGTGGCGATGCTCCCGACCAGAGGATCCGCTGCGGACACGAGCCGTCATCAGCACGTTAATCGACCGAATACAAAACACATTTCATCTGCCGCTTAGGGGCTAAACTACTGCTCATACTTAGGGTTAAGACCTAACTAGGGCTGTAAAACTAGAGGAAAATGTCTTTTTCTGTTTCTAAAAAATTCCTATAATAATAATAATAATTAAAAAAAAAATCTAAGGCAATATTTTACTCTTAAAAAAAAAAACTGGAATATTAGAAAAATATAATAATAATAATAATAATAAGGGAAACTTGTGCATGTTAATAAGAAAATTAAGGTCCAGGTCCTTTATCTGCTTTGCGAATGTCCAATAATATTTTACGCACAAATGTTCAAACTTAGCAAAACACATGGCAATAATTCCCAGCTAATCAAAAAATTACATAGATTTGCATAAAAATAAATAAAGCTTAGTGGTTGCAGAACTGGATCTGATAGCCAAAAGACGTCTGCCAATATATATGCAATATTTAACCTGAAATATATAATCTGCCTATATATTTGCAATATATAACCAGAACTCTTGCATGACACATTTATTAGATAAAACAAGTTAAAGTTGAAATGTAAGGTAAAATGCTAGCTCTTTTTTTAATCCCTGCATTTGCAACATATGAAGGTAAATCTGTGTGTAGCATAAAATTCAAACAAAATCTGCTAATAATAATAAAAAAAAAAAATAATAAAAAAAAAAAAGAAATCAGTTGAACCAATATGGGTTTTGGCTGATGCTAATAGGGATATCAAGACAGCAGGACAGATAATGCCGCATATATGAAGTAAAATACAAATTAATAACAGCAAATACGAAGAACAGTAGAATTGAATGACTTTAAATAAAAGTTATAATACCCAATATTTACAGTTAAAAAAATTTGTGCATGACTTCTTATGCATCTGTTGACAAGGTTGTCAAATTTGGACATTTCTAATCAGTACACAGTCATCAGCCAGTGACGATAATCCAGGCACTAGTTCAGGCAAACATGTCCTTCTGTAACTAGTTAATAAAAATACTGCAGTTTAGTGTGACTGATGTTTAAAGCGCATGTGACAAGCACAGGAAGTCATGCGTAACACTAGAGAGAAATACACATGCACTGAACATATGACATTACATACAAGAAATGACATTTCAGCCACAGTGTTTATTTATGGTGTTTTTCATGAAGCAAGTGCAC